CTTGTGAAGTCCACATTGATACCATTGGGCGAAATATGAGATGCTGTTCCTGCAACCTTCGGGTGGCATCGTTGTGGCACTGCAGCAGGCCCAGGATGGCCATGTCGTCCAAGGAGTGGGAGGGGGAGTTGAAATGGTTTGCGACTGGGAGGTGCAGTTGTTTGTTGCAAACCGAGCGTAGGTGTTCCACAAAGCAGTCCCCAAACCTCCGCTTGGTTTCCCCGATGTAGAGGAGACCAATCCCCCTCCCACTCCTTGGACGACATGTCCATCCTGGGCCTCCTGCAGTGCCACAACAATGCCACCCGAACGTTGCAAGAACAGCATCACATATTTCACTTGGGAACCCTACAGCCCAATGGTATCAATGTGGACTTCACAAGCTTCAAAATCTCCCCTCCCCCGACCGCATCCCAAAACCAGCCCAGTTTGTACCCGCCTCCCTAACCTGTCCTCCCACCTATCCATTCCTCCCACCTCAAGCCCCACCCCCATCTCCTACCTACTAGCGTCATCCCACCTCCTTGACCTGTCAGTCCTCCCTGGACCGACCTATCCCCTCCCTAACTCCCCACCTGCACTCACCTTTACTGGCTCCACCCACGCCTCCTTGACCTGTCTGTCTCCTCTCCACCTATCTTCTCCTTTATCCATCTTCTATCCACTTCACCCTCTCTCCCTATTTATTTCAGAATCCCCTTCCCTTCCCCTCCCCCTCCCCCATTTCTGAAGAAGTGTCTGGACCTGAAACGTCAGCTTTCCTGCTCCTCTGATCCTGCGTGGCCTGCTGTGTTCATCTAGCTCTACACCTTGTTATCTCAGATTCTCCAGCATTGGCAGTTCCTACTATACCTATATTAATAGGTTCCACCTGGGACTAATATCAGAAAATAATTAAGGGTCTAAAATAATGGTCCATATTTTGAAATAATTGAAATGAAAATTGGTGCACAACTTGAGGTGACTGTAGATGCAGAGTTAAAACTAGAAATCAGGAAACTCCTGTCTGAGTTGTCCTACTGCTCAGATGCTTTACTGCGATCAGAAATTCAAGAAAAGAGTCAGCATGAAATGTATACGTGAAGCTGCTCTATTTATATTACTAATTCTCACAAGCATGTAAAAAAAAGTTAAGGTTTGTGTCAGTAAATTTTAACTTCCATAATTGTAAACTCTCATTTCCTGGGATGTTGTTTATTATTGAACATATTAAGTGTAAACTGAACATTTTTGTTGGCTTTTCTCTTTCTCTATGCCACGTTCTGTATACAATTTGGCATTGTATTTTTTTCTCTAACGTGTAGGATGGGAACAGAGATTGGCAGGCAAGGTAGCTTGTCAGGTCAATTAAGAGATATCAAAGTCTTTAATCAGGGGTCAACAGGGTCCAGTTGGCCTGCTGGCCTCCTGTGGCATCAGGAACATGGCATACGCCTGAAGGTCATGGTCTCCTGATGACAGACTGGGGAGACCTCTGTCAGGGTCTCTTTGAGGTTCCACTGTTTAGCTGACCACAGCTGCAGCCACAAACTGCCTTCACTTGCAATAGTGACCATTTTTATTTTAAATACATTAACAGTACGGAGGAGGGATCTCAAAATAGAGACATTCTTTCTCTCCCTCTCTCCTTATCTGTAACTACAGGTTGCACCTCCTTCAGTGATGCAGGATGTCCAAATGACCATTCCTCCAGTTTCAATACCTGATTGCTATCCTTAATTGATGGCAAGTGCACCTTTGAGTCATTCATTAGCCAATGCATTCAAAATCTTGCCTATACTTTATAGTTCAGACTCAGTGCTGCAAAAGTAAGAATTCTTCACGCTGATCAACAAAATACATTGCTGCTTGAAAATGCTCAGCATGTTTTGCAGCATATGTTCCAGATGTTACCAGGCTTGCAGAGTATTTACAATACTTTCTGTTTTCATTTCAGATTTACAGCACCTGCTCTATTTTGCTTTTATGAACAGTTGCTTGTCATGTTCACACATGTCTTAGTTCTCTTCTGGAGGGCTGCACACCAAAATAGCTTTACAATCACAGCAAGTTCATAGTCAAAACTTCATGAAAAGTTTGCAGGTAACAGTAAATGGCTTGCAACACTCACCGATGACAGCATATTCATGACAGACTGTGAAATTCAGCCAGAATGACTGTGGTCAACTATGGAGTTAATTAGTGAGACCACCATGTATGCAACAAGTTCATTTCATAATCTATAAACTGACATCTCCTTGGAAGAACTTAATGGTTGTTTTATAGGAAAGCTCTAACTTATCCTATATTCATAAATACATGTAAATATTTATTTCAAGCAATGTCTCAAATTTAAATTAGATTTTTACATTTTGCTTCCTGATTACAAGAATTATACTGCTCTCTTAACATAATACATTAAGTAATTTCATAATTTATTAATACTACAACAAGCTAAACAATGAAAAATGGTAGGTCCTAACCACTGTTCTTCGAGCTAATGCTAATTTTAGTGAAATATTATTCAAGTACATAACATAAAAATAATGAAACATAAATTAAGCTCATAGAAACAGCATATTATATGGTCCTTCAGCACATTTTTTTTGGAAAAAACATAGGGTTCTTACGAGTGCAATTGTGAAGTGCAAGGCAGGAATCTAAAATTTGTGGTTCCTTTCATAGATTTGTGGGTGTTTTTTTAATGTATGTCTGCGGGAGGCGATGGCCGAGTGCTATTATCATTGGACTGTTAATCCAGAGACCCAGACAACATGCTGGGGACCCGGGTTTGAATCCCGCCACAGCAGATGGTGGATTTGAATTCAATAAATATCTGGAATTAAGAATCCAATGATGACTGTGAATCCATTGTCGATTGTTAGAAAAACCCATCTGGTTCACTAATGTCCTATTGAGAAGGACACTGCCATCTTTACCTGGTCTGGCTTAAATGTGACTCCAGACCAACAGCAACGTGGTTCACTCTTAACTGCCCTCTGATGGGCAATAAATGCTGCCTAGCCAGCAACACCCTCATCCCATAAACAAATAAAGAAAAAAAGAGCAGCAGTTGAAGTTGCCAGTTCAGAAAGCCTCAGAAAATGAAACAAGTGTATCAAAAAAAAGCCTTACAGGCAGCAGGCAAAACAGCGGTCTTGTTTTGATAACAAAGTGTGGAGCTGGAGGAACACAGCAGGCCAGGCAGCAGAGGAACAGGAACATTGTGTCGAAATTTCTGAAGAAGGATCCCAGAGAAGGGAATGGTGCCAGGTGGCAGGTTCGGCTGTGCTCTGAGGCTTCTTGTGAAGAATCAGACAGTGGTGAGAAATGGATAGAGGCCACAAGTCAGGAGGCAGGGAGTGGCTTGAGAGGCACAGGCTGCTCCAAAACAGCACCAATTGGATCAGGTAAGGTATTGCAAGAGATGAAATTACATTAATACAAATCTCACAATATTCGCAGAGATTTCTGGTCTTGTTGGTGTATAGCAACAGGGGTGTAGCTATTTCTGCATCACATTTTCAGTACTATTGACAGAACGTGATCAGTGCCAAAAGCTTTTGCAGCATCCTGTGTCTTAAGCCATTTCTTGATAGCTCATGGAGTATATTGAATTTGCTGAAAGACTGACATCTGTAATGCTGGCATCTCCATGGGAGGTTGAGCTGGATTATCTACTTGGCAATTCTGGCTGAAGATGTATACAAATGTTTCAGCTCTGTCTTTTGCACTGATGTGCTGAGCTCCTCCATTATTGAGAACCGGGGTATTTATGGAGCCTTCACCTCCAATTTGTTTTTTTTTTAAGTTGTTCTCCACCATTCACAACTGAACATCGCAGAATGGCAGACTTGAAATCTGATCCATTGGTGGTACAATCACTTAGCCCTATCTCTTGCGTGCTCCTTGCTCTGCTTGGCACGCAAGTAGTCTCATGTTGTAGCTTTACAAGGTTGACACATCATTTTTAAATCTGCCTGGTACTGCTCCTGGCATGACCTCCTGCACTCTTCATTGAATCATTACTTGCTGGTAATTGAGTGGAAGATATGTCAGGCCTTGAGGTTATGGATTGCGGTTGAATACAATTCCACAAGCTCATGCATGCACAATATTGAGTTGTTCCATCTATTCAAACGTGTCCCAATCTAGCACAGTGATACTGCCACATTACGTCATGAAGGTTCTCCTCAATATAAAGGTGTGACTTCATCTCAAGGACTTTGTAGTATTCACTCCTATTCATATTGCCATAGATCAATGCATCTGCGCCAGGTAGATTGGTGGGAACAGATCAAGTAGATTTTTCCTTCATCACCTCCTGCAGACCCACTCCTTCGGCCATATCTGGTACTACAGCCAGAGGCTGTCACATTTAAACAGTACTACAAATCTACCCATATTTGTATTTTGATGATGTCTATTAATAATTCAAACTAATCATTTTTATATCCATCTTGTACATAAGTCATTCAGGGACTTGAATAGCACAAGACTCTGGGTTAAGGGAAGTCTGATAGCCAAGAGCATTTACCTTAATAAATACTTAAAACAAAAAAAGTGGTGCACTCTTAACTTAAGTTACCTCAAAAAATATGGGCATCCATTTATTGCCTGCGAGATTTCCAGTGTAACTCACATTTATTGTTCTCTTTGGAAGCCAAAAGAGTTTTGTTCATTCAGGATTGAATTGAAAACATGCTGCACAAACTGACTAACTTGATACATAAAATGATCACACAAAATACAGTTTGAGGAAGGCCTTAATGTGAAAACCCACCCAATCAGGCAGAAAAGGATTAGGTGAGTATCAAAATCTTAAAAATCAAAGTTGTAGCCCCAAATCATCACATTCCTCACCACAATAGTATTAACATAGCCCTCAATTTTTTTATGGAGGCAATTTTGTCAACCTACTTTGCGATTTACCTCAGTCAATAGTGCATGTTCATTGGCGGATAAAAATAATTCCATTTTAATATTCAATGACACTAAAACAGATTGTGATAAATTCTTACCTCTCCGTGTTTAACTGATGTGATAAGACCCCTTGTTACTGCCATTCGAAATATACTTTCAGTTGCCTGTAAAGAAAGACAATTTTAAGAATACAGAAAATGAGGACCATTCTAAAGTAGTGCCCATAGCACTGGAATTTTTTTTTCCTATAGCTGGTACTTAATATAAGTCTCAAAAACAAATATCTCAGGAGCAGAGTTCTCATTTGTAGACCTGTCAGCCCTTAAACGATACTAAAAAATATTTTTGAAATTCCCACACTATTCAATAGCTGAAGGATAAACCAGATTCTATAAGCTGTAAAAACTTCCCTTCACACAGCCCTCCACATTTTCTGTAAACCTCAAACAAGAATTTTAAACCAACTTGAAATGATTCCTCTTCTCTTCAACTAGCAATCTCGACTAACAATACTAAATCTACACAACTATCAGAGCAACATTCCCTACATCAATCTGCCTTTCTCACAAGAGGATTTAAATACAGGAACAAAGAAATGTTGCTTCAATTGTACAGAACTGTACTGGTGAGACGGCACCTTAAGTATCCATTCAGTAATGGCCCTTAAGAAAGGAAATACTTGCCGTACGGGGAGTGCAGTGAGACTTACCAGACTGATTCTTGGGACTGTGGGACTGTCCTATAAGGAGAGATTGTGGAGAATGGCCTGTACTTTCTGGAGTACGAGAGGTGATCTCATAGAAACATCACAACATTCTTCAAGGGACAGTGGAGATGCATAAAGGATGTTTTCCCCAGCTGTGGTGTCCAACAACAGGGGAGAAAAACTCAGAATAAAACATGAGTCATTTAGGACTGAGCGGAGAAAGCAATCAGACAGTGATGAAACTTTGGAATTCTCCTCTCCACACAGCTGTGGAACTCAGTCATTAAGTAAGTTCAAGATAGAAATTGATAGCTTTCTAGTAAATAATGATGTCAAGGGAAATGGGGATAGTACAGAAATATGGCACTGCAGTGGATGATTGTCAATGACTTAGAACGGCAGACCAAGCTCAAGAGGCTAAGGGGCCTAATCCTGGCCCCATGTTTCAATGTTCCTAGGCCATTGCAAAGGACATTTAAGTATCAACCATTTGGCTGCGGATATGGAGTCATGGCAGATTCCTTCTTTAAAAAGGACATTACTGAAGCAGATGTTTGTTTTACAACAATCCAGTGGTTTCATGTTCATGAGACTAGCATTTTATTTCAAATATATAAACTGAATTTAAATTTCATCAGAATTTTTCAAAACAATGGTTGATGACAGTCTCATGGCCACCACTGAGGCTAGGTTTCAATTCTAGACTTTATTAAATTAATTAAATTTAAGTTCTGAAATCTCTTTGTCTACAGAGCAGTAGCTTGGGCCTCTGGGTTTCTAGTCAAATTACAATGCCATTAACTAGTAAGGAACAAAGAAAGCAACAGGGAGATTGATTAACTAATCAGATTGAAGAATTCTTACAAAATATAGTTCGGTATACAGAAAGCAAAGACTAAGACTGTAACAAACACTATAGGGAAGTTATAACTCAAAATTGCCAAAATTATATATGACACCCAAAGAAGAAATTATCGACAAGATTGTACTTTTCATTGCTCTTAATTTAATATGAATCAGAACCAATGCAAATTATACATGAATTAACATGGCAAAATAAAACATGGAGTGTTTGATATAAAGAACATCAAGAATTTGGTCATATTTCAGGAGTCCCAAATATTTGAGAAAAATATGAAGAAAAAAAAAATTATTTGGAACCCATTGTTTGCACCATGATATCAAAATTAATCAGGTGTCATAAGCCCAGTTGGAAATACCACCTCATCTCAACAGTGATTGTGGTAATTATCATTAAATTAATGACAATTAGCCTCAGATATTTGTGTGAATAGGCCTGGATTAGGTAAATCAAACCGATGCTCTGCAGTATTAATTTGATGGGGAAACAAAGTGTAACAAGGTCCATGCAAAGCTGGTGTTGATAGGCAGAATATAATCTGGGAAATTGCAGCTAATATCAGGCAAGACTGGTGTACCAGCTTTCAAATGGCAAGTTAGGATCAAGGAGGAGGGCAAGTTGGGCTCAGATGTGCATACTGTCAGTAACACTGAAGGATGAGCCAAAATAGAACTTATACAACCAGTGACTGCAACTAGACTAAGCTGTGCACAATTGGTATGTACATGAGCAGGCACAAGGAACACCCATCTCAGGTCCCAGTGTAAAAGCCCAGGTGACAAGTACAGCAATGAATTGAATGGTCAGACAGAGTTCCTGGCTAGTATTATCTGTCTCAATAGACTCAAAAGATGGCCTGGATACAACAGTTCAAGATCTTTTAAGAGATTCAGGTCAGCAAAGTGAACGTCTAGTTCAAGTACAAGGGCTTTACACCACAGCAAATGTATAATGCAAATGAGACAGGCCTGTTTGACAAGAATCTGCCTGATGCCATCTTGGCAGCAAAGACTGAGACCACTAATAATTAAGCAAAAAAAAAGGATTTAGAGCACGAAAGTACCAAGAGACATTCTGTTAGCCAGTAACAAGACAAGAAAGCATAAATTATCTCCGGCTCTTCTTCATGTGACTTTTCTTTGTGTTTGCAGCTCTTCTTTAGACTTTCTTAACTTCCTTCTGTTAGTTGTGCTTTTAAGTCAAGGCTTAGCCAGTCACATTGACCATTAATATCCAATAAAATAAGTGATCCCTTTATTACAATTGATGTAAACTCTTGGAGTCATTTTCAAACATTTTTAATAGAATTACAGACTCTACAAACAAATTTTCTTTGCTGTACTACTTCTGAACCAAAGGTCATTACAAGACATAACATGAGAAAAAAATTAGAAACTGAAGTCTCAAAACCAAACACGAAGAATCACTTTTAAAGAAAATCTATAAAATGTAACTTTTTTTGAGGGAATGAGATTGTATATTTGCAGAGTCAGAGAAATTGTTCATCTGCCCTACTCCTGATAAAACAAGGCTTAACGTTTTAAGAGATAGTAAGAACTGCTGATGCTGGAGTCAGAGATAACACAGTGTGGAGCTGGAGGAACCCAGCAGGCCAGGCAGCATCAGAGGAGCAGGAGAGTTGACTTTTCCGGTCAGGACCCTTCTTCAGAAATGCTTGGAGTTTAGAATTTAATTTAGAAATGCTAACGTTTTAATCAGTCCTTACAGCGAGAACATAACATCAGATCATTAGTTCAAGTTCATGCCTTAGTAGTGATTCCAATTCTGATTCCATCATCACAAACTACAACAGCCCACTCATATAGGAGCAGGTGACTTATAGCACAACTTCTGGATCCCCATGTTAAACTGCATACATGCAAATGCCATAAGGTGCCTTCAGTCTCACCCAGTTAATAATGGTGAATGCTCACAGCCTTGCCATTACTACAACTGGAAACTCCAGGGCAGTATGTTAAAAATCTTTCTTGAGCCTTCTGTGCTTCAGTGGAAATACCACAAATATTTCAACTTGTTCCCATTCATCTTATGGCTTAAATGGTCTTTCTATAATGGACCAATGAAATCTAAACAATGCACTAAAACTATGGTCTAAACCATTGCTTTTTACCATTATATGCTTGAACTTTGACTGTCAGTTTGGCAGTTTTTATGTTTCAACTTGCAATTTGTGTTTGACAGGTTAGGTGAAGGGAGAGGTGAGGTGAACCAATAAAAATATACATGAAATGTTCACATTTTTGAACAATGCAGAAAACCAGTCATGATTCAACATCTGCATTTAAAATGTCCAGTACATACATATTTGTTATTAAGTTGGTTTAGGGCCTCCAAAGAACTTATTTTTTGTGTTTTTTGATTATACAATTCCTACACCCTCAGAAATTATGCTTCCACTTCTAACAAATGATTTTCTGACTATTTAACAGCTAGCTTCTCAAGAATAGATATAAATAACAACTTTTTCATTGTCAGTTAGATAAAAAATAATTTAAATACATCTATACGTATTTGTATTTGTAACGTTACACATTTATAAATGAACAAATTTATTCTGCATCATAATTGAAGTTGAAGTGTTCCTAATTTAGATTCAGAATCAAATCAATAAATGTGACCATCATTATCAGAACCCAGTTAAAAGCATAAATCTGAAAAGTCATTGCAGTCCCACCAGACCACAAGGCTGCTCTTTCATTAGACAGACATAGCTGGTGATGGTTTAGTCTGAGGGTCGCAACACCTCAGCTGAGGGGAGAGGTTGAGAAGTACAGTCCTTCATAGTAACCTTAATTGGTGCAGGAATTGAACCCATGCTGTTGGCGTCACTGTGCATTGCAAACCAGCAAGCCTGCCAACCAAGCTAACCAACAACCTTCCCCCAGATAAAAACCAAAAGAACTGCGGATGCTGTAAATCAGGAACAAAAACAAAGTTATTGGAAAAGTTCAGCAGGTCTGGCAGCATCTGTGGAGGAGAAAACAGAGTTAACGTTTCGCGTCCGGTGACCCTTCCTCAGAACCTCCACCCAGACACCAATCTGTGGGATGGGGGAATGCAAACACAAATCTGAACAAAAATCTTGACAAGCAATCATACTTTGGAATCACCAAGAAGGGAAAATTGTCATCATGAAGTAATTCTTGAACAATTTCCACAAGAGGTCCAGAGGATGATCCAACATACAACAGTACAAATTAAGTAGAGGAGAAAATACAGAAAAATTATTGAGGTGTACAATACCGAGGCGTACAATAATTACATTGTTAATTAAGTATTCTACTTGCAGCTCTTCAGAAGTTAACACACATCACAAGGGATCACAAAAAGCTTGACTAATTCTTTAAGGTCACGTTCCTAGATTTGTCTAACAAGGTTCATTCGTTCTCTTTAATTGTAACGACGCCATAAACAACCTTACAACTAAAAACAAATCAGATATAAATAGGGTTCACACCAAGTAAATGCAGCAACTGAAAATAGAAGAACAATTATTTCCTACTGAATCTAAACAACATAACACAAGTAATTATACACCTGTTTGAGGGTAGGGCACTGCTTGTACAAAGGCATTT